TTTAAGTAGTTATTTGAAAATAACAAGCAATAACTATGACTGCTCGAATAAATTAAGGAAATAACCGGAATGTGACTCTTCAATTCTATGTGGTGATGAAGCAGACCATATAGCCAGTAGGACACTCTCCTCTAATTATTATCTACTCTTGATAGTATCAGTTTTACTATAAATAGATTCATTTACCTCTATTCCTAAGGAAGAATGACACTATGTACATGTATGTCTTGACTGAGAGTGCAGTGTTTTATTATTATTATTATTATTACTATTATCAAATGGTGGCAGAAAGATACAAAAAGCAAACAAAAAACATTAATATTATTATTATCATTACTGTATAGCTATAAATTTGACGAACTAAAATTTTGGTGAATTTGGTGAATTGAGGTCAATTCATCAAAATTTTAATCTCCAATTTGATAGGGCTCTGCAGCAGCATGCACATGGTTAAAATTAGCCAGAATTTTAAACCTAAACCTCTTTTAGAGTCCATTCACCTAATTTTGACACTCCAAAATTTTCAAGCTATACAGTAGTACAGATGCAGTCCTCATATAAAGCAATAGTAAGGTGGAGTGTAGTATGAGATTTTGAGGAGATTTTATTATTATTATTGTGATATGAATATGAGAGGAGTTAAGTACAGGCCCTATAGGTGGGTTTATATAATGGTGATTAGGAATTAACAGCCATGAGTCATTGAGCATGTGAAGAATAAAGCAAGATGGAGTGGATTTTATATTAGTAAATGCTAACTACAACTGCAGATCTGCCAATATTAATTCCTTGCCATATTCCAGCTGTATGGTAAATAAGTACTACTATTATTACATGTGTGATCAGAATCAATTCAAAAACTATCAAAAGGACATTGATATATAAATTGAGAAATTTCTTACACCCAATTTTTGGCAAAAGCATTCCCTCCCTCTCTCTCAGTTACGGTATGTGTGTTTAGTGTAACTATTGAATTCATGATGTGTGGGCGGGTATCAATGAATTTAATTAACTGATCACAAGATGTCAATAGAGGACAAGTGTTGGGCTGCGTTTGAGAAAGGAGATCATGAAGAAGCTGTTTGCTTACTACCATTAGTGAAAGAACTGAATAAAATTAAAAGAAGCTATATGTGGTGGGATAGTACTAGTCTACTTCATTTGTCTTCAAGGCACGGCTGGTTAGATGTTACAAAAGATCTCATCACTAAATATCACTGTGACCCAGAGGAAAGAGATGGTACAGGTAGGACTTGTCTTCATTATGCTGCACTACGTAATCACGTTGATGTGATGAGATATATCATTGATGAGTGTCACTGTAATCCAAAGGTTCCTAATCAGCATGGATATACTGTTCTTCACATAGCAGCTGACAAAGGATCACTTGATTTCATAAAATACTTGATCAATCATCATCACTGTGATCCAATGGCTACTAACGACTGGGGTGATACTGTTCTTCACTGTGCTGCTGGACACATTGACATTGTAAAGTATCTCATTAATGAGTGTCACTGTGATCCAATGGCTACTAACAATAGGGGTGAGACTGTTCTTCACTGTGTTGCTGGACACATTGATATTGTAAAGTATCTCATTAATGAGTGTCACTGTGATCCAATGGCTACTAACAATAGTGGTGAGACTGTTCTTCATCATGCTATTGCACACATTGATATCGTAAAGTATCTCATTAATGAGTGTCACTGTGATCCAATGGCTACTAACAATTGGGGTGAGACTGTTCTTCACTGTGCTGCAGCAGGACACATTGATATTGTAAAGTATCTCATTAATGAGTGTCACTGTGATCCAATGGCTACTAACAATTTGGGTGAGACTGTTCTTCACTGTGCTGGTGGACACATTGATATTGTAAAGTATCTCATTGATGAATGTCACTGTGATCCAATGGCCACTGACAAGCTGTTGGGGCGGACACCTCTTCACCATGCTACTGCTTATAATCGTCCTGGGGTTGTTGAATATTTACTATCAACTGGTATGTGTGATCCATTGGCTAGAGACAAATATGGGGACACAACATTTCAAATAGCTAAGGAGAATGGTCACACTGATATTATTTCTGTCTTGAAGAAGTTTGGTAACATAAAATCAACTCATCCAATTGATTCTTATGTTAACGTCCTCCTTGTCGGAAATCCTGGAGCTGGTAAAAGTACTCTTAGTCATGTCATCAATGACACAGCTACTGGTTCTATTGTTCTTGGTTCCTTTAGAAATGTTGAAGGGGTAGTGCCCTGTACTGCTGGTATCATTCCTTATAAACTACAACACAGGACACTGGGTAACATCATTCTTCATGATTTCGCTGGTCATTCCGAATACTATTCCAGTCACAGTGCTGTCATTGAGAATCTCTTACAAGGTTCTGGTGGTGTGTTCCTGATAGTAGTCAATATATTGGAGAAGCAACCAGTCAAACAGCTTCATCAGTGGCTAACAGTTGTCACAAATGAAGCACAGAAAGCTCTTAATCAATGCCATGTTATTGTAATAGTTAGTCATAAGGATGAAATAAGTAATCCTTTTGAAAGGAGAAGGAGAAAGGAAGAAATACAGGAGATTATTGTAAGGGAAAGGTGTGATAGTGTCTTCTTAGATTGTCGTAAGCTTGGTGGGAGTGGTGTGGATTCCTTTTTTAATAAGTTGTCTAGTGCCTGTGAGTCCATTCGTAGTACAAGTGGAAGGAATTTGAGTCTTTATTGTCACACGATGTATGGTCTACTGGAGGAAAGGAAAGAGAATATACTGACCCTCTCTGATGTAATGTCTGCTGGTAAGGACAATGATGATTACTTTATACCGGATAAGAGAGAAGACGTGTTGGATGCTCTTGACTCGTTGCACTCAACTGGTTTGATCAGTGTTCTTAAAAGTGAAGACAAGGTATGGGTTGTTGTGAATAAGGGTATACTACTAACTGAGGTGGATGGGATTCTTTTTGCTCCAGAAACATTCAAAGAACACGTTGACATTGCTAGCAATACTGGTATTGTTAGTGTGTCTGGTCTGACTAGACTCTTCCCTGAATATGATCCTGACATGTTAATCTGTTTCTTCAAGAACATGGAACTCTGTCAAGAATTGAATCCATCTTTCCTAACAATGACAAACCTCCATCAGTTGGCAGTGGAAGCGGAGGAGGAGGGAGGGATAGAAAGAAGAGGAGAAAGGTTGTTGTTCTTTCCATGTCTTTTGTCTAGTGATAGACCTGATGAGATGACTAGTCAAGTGTACCAGTTTGGTTGGTGTCTACAGTGTACTAGTAAACATCATTTCTTTCCTCCTCGATACTTCCACGTCCTCTCATTACGTCTTGCTTACAAAATGGCTCTACCTCAAGAAGATCACAAGTTAAATCGTTACTGTACATTTTGGAAAAATGGACTTTATTGGCTTAATGGTCATGGTGTAGGATCACTGGTAGAGATTGTAGATGAAAGCCAGTGTGTACTAGTAATGATGTCCTCTGAGAAAGGTTACAGTGACAATATGGTGTCTCTAAGAAGAGATGTGATAGGAGAGGTAATGAGTGTTTACAAAGAATCCTGTCCCAGTCTAGAGGTAAAAGAGTTAGTTATTGATCCTAAAGAACTAGCCTATCCTGTGAATACACCAAGAGAAAGGACAGTGTTTAGTGTAAAAGCTGTACTCTCAGCAGTAGTTGAAAAACGACCATTTCTTGTTACCACTGGTACTAGACACACAGAATTGAAGGAGATCCTACCTGATGAATCATTATCAGATATTAGTAAACTGTCACTATTTGGAGGACGTGATATTAAGGTAAGAATAAACACACAAACTGTTTGATACATTAATACTAGCACTAATAATCAAAAGGTCATACCTTAAAAGTAATTTTATTTCTTATCATAATTGTCATAATTGTGGGTTTTCATTGTGTGGCTTTTATTATAGTAAAATGTGAGTATATACTCAGACTTCTCTATCAATTTGTCATAATTGTGGGTTGGAGTTGAGTGGCTTTTATTACTAGTAATGTACACATCTGTTGAACTCACCTTTCAGCAATACACCACTACCTTGACATTGACAATTATCAGTTATAGACTGTATTATTATTATTATTGTATAGGAAGTGATTGAAAGAAAACCTAATGTACTCAACACAGATGTCACTACAATAAAGCTAGGTATGTTAAAATGTATTAGCTAAATTGTCAGGTAGTGGGAGTGCAGACCGTGTGCATAAGACATTAATTATTATTTTTATAGATATTAAAGATCTTGATATTGTCATTGAAGAGCTAACAATACTCAATCAATTGGATTGTACTAAATGGATTCAGTTTGGACTTCATTTAGGATTATATGATCCTAGACTAAAGGCTATAGACACTGACTATAGAGGAAAAACAGTGGAGTGTTTCCGTGAGTGTATGTCTGCCTGGTTAAGAGGAGAAGATAAAGTGAGAGAGAAAGGAGGCCCCAGTTGGTCATCATTAGCTACAGCATTGGATACAATAGAAGAGAAATCTATTGCTAGTTACATTAGAAATAAATATTCTACATCAAACCAGTTGATTGCCTAGTTCTTTTGTTTTTGAAATTATTATTTTTTATTATTTGTTAAGATGGCTGCCTATAGTATCTTACTTTGTTCTGTTTATAACTATTATTATTATTAATGATACATTATTACAAGATGAAGGTAAAACATTAAGAGGACAAGCCAAGCAAAGCAATATACATCATTATTACTATTTACGTCTGTCTGTCTGTTGCTAATAAAAAAGTTTAAATTGATTCTGACAACAAATTTTTGTGCAATGGGCAATTTTTGAATTACTACATCACTACCAAACGTTTACACTAGCATCGTTACTATAAATAGTATCATATACTACAATAGACAATGATATATCATATACTACAATAGCATAGTCTCAATCAATAGCATTGTACTATATATAGTATCAGTGTTACTATAAATAGTATCATTTACCTCTATTCCTAAGGGAAGAGTGACACTATGTCTCAGTTCCAGTCTCCAGTGCATTGAGTGGGAGGGAACATTGATCCAATGAATTAAGAGACACTCCTAGATCAGGAGAGACTGAGATTTTATGAAATGATGACAAAGACAGAGTTTGTAAGAGAGAGGGACCATCTAAACATGGGCAGAATAGGAGGTATTTTAATTTCAATTTTATTATAAAATTGTAAATATTTATACTTGGAGTGTTATAGCTAAACATTCTACAGTATTCCAGTGGATGAATGGCAGCAATGATCATAGCATTAGAGACACTGTAGACCACTGGATAATAATGAAGTTAAGGATCATAATTGTACATTATTAATGATTAATGTACATGTACATGTACATGGCTCAGGGAGAGAAAATAATAAAAAAGAGAGGATAGAGAAAGAAAGGAGAAATAATGATATAATAAGCCTTGAGTACTTTTATACTTTGGCAAATTTTTTAAAATGGAAAAAACTCAAAAAATAAGTCGGAACTAGCTCAAAATTTCTACACAGCAGAAGGACATCAATATATATATGTATCAGAAAATTTAATAAAAATTGAGGGTAATTTTTCAGCTATTTTTGGAAAAAACCATGGGCTATATATAGCCTTGGGTATTTTTACAGTATTGGAAAATTTCTTAAAAAGGCTGTAACTTGAAAAATTTTAGTCGGAATCAGCTCAAACTTTCTATATAAGGACATCAATATGTATCAGAAAATGCAATAAAAATTGGGGATTAATTTTGGAGCCATTTTTGGAAAAATCCAAGGCTAAGGAATGTGCATGGGGCATTAATTAGGATACACACAATCCTGTCCTCAGTGAGAGTGAACAGCGGTGGCCATTTAAAAAGGACGTCGTTCAACTTCCTGACATATTGTGGAAGAGTATCATTATACTGGAAAAACTCCATGTTAGGCTCTATACTGAAGACTGAAGAGAGAGCCAGAGATTGTTGCTGAGATGAGGAGGAGTGAAGAGTGAGGTGTATTAAAAAACGGTCATTAGCTAGTGGAATGACGTCACCTTTATGAGAACCAAGTACTGTTAGTGTATCAAAACTAGAGCCTATTGAGAAGAGACAGGAGAATAATTAATAGTTATTAATAACTAATATGAATCATTGATATTGATGGAGAGTAAAAATTTGCAAAAAAAAATCCAAATTTAATCAGAATCAGGTCAAAACTTTCTATGCAACATAAGTACATGTCAAGCTGGTAATACTATTTCCTCTCTAACCTTCTCTCAGAGGACAACACCAGAGTGTGTTTAGTTACTCCTAGTGTTGTTGCAGAGGACAATGGCTCCCATGCTTACCTCAGTGGACTTTCATGTGGTGTTACACCACATGANNAGTCCCTGAGGTNAGCTTGGGAGCCATTGTCCTCTGCCACAACGCTAGGAGTAACTAAACACACTCTGGTGTTGTCCTCTGAGAGAAGGTTAGAGAGGAAATAGTATTACCAGCTTGACATGTACTTATGT